GGGCAAAATAACTCAATCTCAAATGAATTTAAATATTGGAATTTTGTTATCAGCAGTATCAGGCATAGCTTCCCCAGCTAATTGCTCAGCAGTCTGGTATGTCCATAAACATCCCTTGGTCTGTGCAGTTTTCATCAGTATCTCACCACTTACCCTCTTTGGCATCCTTCTTGGCACAGGCTCTCTCGTCTCTTACCCCTTTACAGAAATGAGGTCATCTCCCCTGTGCCCCGTAACTCATGCTGACACCCTCTGTACTCCGAGTGTACCCTGCAGCACAGGTCCTGTCTAGCGAGAACTCTGAACTTCACAGTTCTTCATGGACATTTGACAGCAGAGCAGATGCAAAGACTTTGTAAAGGTTTTTAAGCTCAGATTCTTTTTACCTTAGCACAGGGTAACAGAGCCAGGAGGGAGATGAGGGATCATAGAAAATGACCACTCCAGACAAGTAATACCAGCACAGCTGATTATTTCTGTCTTCATCTTAATCCCACAAAGCATTCTGTTTTCTGTCATCAGGATCTTCACTAAAGACACCTAACTAGGAATTAGAATAAGTCCATTACCTCCTTTCACAGGACTGATGGAAGCAATTGCGATTGCCATGTATAATAGCAAAGAAGCCAGGCTGGAACTGTTGGCTTACGTTGTAAGGCCACCTATACCAGAATTTCCACAAATTCTGTCACCCTGGACACATCTCGCCTTAGTCAGGCAGTATTTTAACCTGATCTGAAGTCTGATTCTGTAATCTTATTTTCAATCTGAGATATGCAGTCCTTTTAGACACACTACCTCATTTGTCTCAGGTTTGGGTTTTTTTTTAACCAACTGTCATGGTTTAACCCCAGCCGGCAACTAAGCCCCGCACAGTTGCTCACTCACTCCCCCCTGGTGGTACTGGGGAGAAAATCGGGAGAGTAAAAGTGAGAAAACTCGTGGGTTGTGATGAAGACAGTTCAATAGGTAGAGCGAAAGCCACACACAAGCAAAGCAAAACAAGGAATTAATTCACTCCTTCCCATCGGCAGGCAGGAAGGCAGGGCTCCAACACGCATAATGCTGACTTGGGAAGACAAAACACCGTAACTCCGAATGTCCTCCCCTTCCTTCTTCTTCCCCCAGCTTTATGTGCTAAGCATGACGTCATACGGCTCGGAAGATCCCTTTGGCCAGTTGGGGCCAGCTGTCCTGGCTGCGTCCCCTCCCGACTCCTTGTGCCCCTGCCTGCTCACTGCTGGGGTGGGGTGAGGTGAGCAGCAGAAACGGCCTTGATGCTGCGTAAGCACTGCTCAGCAGTGACGAAAACATCCCTGTGTTATCGACGCTGTTTCCAGCACAAATCCAAAACATAGACCCGTACTAGCTTCTATGAAGAAAATTAACTATCCCAGCCAAAACCAGCACACAAACTTTTTCTGTTCTGAAGCTGTCCAGGTAATAAAAGCTCTTGCTAAAATCAAGTTATAATGATCAATCTTTAAGTACTTTTTGTGTTGTATTCGTATTGGTGCAAATTTCCCTTCATGCTTCCTAAACGGTGGTCTAATTTCCAAAAAAAGGGAGCGTAGAGTAAAAACTCTCAAAGAACTATTTTTGTTGGTAGACAACATCTCTTATTTTTTGTAGGTTTGGATAGCGATAACATTTGAACCTATAAATACTTTAAAACACCTGGAGTCAAATCCAGGTGACTTTGATTTTGCAATGGCTTGATTGTGTCAGCACAAGACTTGCTGTTTTGCTGTTCTTCCTCTAGATGAAGTAGTTTTGGTGCAGTTTCTGTGCTTTGTTTCAATGAACATTGTCTTAGAATCAAATTAATTGAACAGTCTTACTGCTTTCAGCTCTGTGACTTTCCACGGTGAGAAACTTAAACCTTTAAACTCTTGTGCATTAGAAAAGTTAACAGTTATTTTGACATGTGGCATAGTGTCTGTGTGAAAAAGCACTGCACTGTACTGGTGCTCGATTAGGGCTGTGCCTTGAGATTGCTACTCTTTCAGAGGCTGTAGTTGCAACAGTTTGTTAAACATAATGTTTCAGTAGCTCTCTGAACTATAATGTCATCCACTTAAAAGAACTTCATGTAAATGGGGATTTAGAACTGGCTCTAGAGAGAAAGAGCTGAATGACACAACAGGAAGCAATAGAAAACTGAACCAATGCTGCAGCCAGATTAAGGGACAGGCAGTGACTTAATGCATTGCAAGGTGTGATGGTAACTTCAGAGTGGCCACACGAACGCTGAAGTTTATGCTGAGTTTCAGACTAAACTCTGGCTGATACATGCTCATAATTTTCAGGAAAATTCTCTTTCAGCTGCCACTATCTTCATACTGTGTCTCAGCTCCAATATATCTTAAGCTTCTTAGCAGGTAGTAAACACCTCAGTAGTCCTAAGTATTTTACTGTTCACAAGTTGAAAAATATCTGATGGAAACGCACTACAAACAAAGCATGTAGAGAAAACTCCTTTTTGTGAACCTAGTTCGTCAGAAGGGCTGGAGGTTTTCAAATAAAAGAACTTGTAATCATTTCAGAAACTTGTCAATGCATTTGGTTTGTGTAAATTTTAAGAATTCGTAATGAAAACTTGTGGTAAAAGACTTTAGTGAAATATATGTTCTTGCTAGTAATGCAACAGACAAGATTTTCAGACCTAATGGTGAAATATGAATTCAAACAGTTTTTACACTAAACTAGTCACCACTTAATTGTGCTCGGTTTCACACTTTTTATATTCTAACTTGTGCTTAGCCTCCACGGCAGAAGAGGAAGATGAACCCTATTGTCTTTAGGGAAAAAGCTTCCAATGTCGTCTTACAGCCCAAATGCAACAAAATTTTAATTGAAAATGCAGCAGAACATTGTACTCGGCTCTCTTCCGACCTCCCAGGTGTATGGTTCTGGTTGACTGTCTGGATCAAGTAATGATTAAAAGTGCATTTTTTTCTAAAACTGCATGTGCCCTTTAAGCATAAGACCTTCTCTGAAGCCACATGTGCCAGTGACTCATGCTCCTGGTGTCCTGTTTCACAAATTCTCATTGTGTGATGGTAGCAAAGACAAGCAGGCAAAAATGCTATCCTATATAGATAGTATATAGGAATAAGGTAGAAAACAGGGTTACAAACTGTTTTCTCTTTTTGTTCTCCCACTAAATTGATGATCTGATGAATGATATTACTGAAGGTTCCTCTAATGAACTCGTTTCCCCTCTCTCTGTTGCTAGAAGCAGTTTCCTCTTTCTGCTTGTCTTGAGGCTCCTTTCATTGTTAATTAAATAGCACAATGAAGAGTTTGCCCAAATGTGCGGAACACTGTGTGGATGAGATTTTTCCCCTTACTGCTAGGGAAAAACCTTTGCAATTCTAAATAGTAATGACCCAGTTCATAGTGAAATTCCTGAGTCTAGGCTATGGGGAAATAAAAATACAAGTAATTGGGAAGTAATTCCTATATTTCACACAACTTGATATAAGTCTATACTGTAGAGTTGGTATGGGCAGTAAAGCATCTTGCATCTGTTTGTCTTATTTGCCTCTTACTAGGACAACCTCATTACTGGTTCTCCTGTTTCTTCCTGTGTCTCATGAATCCTCAATTTAAGGCAGAGGAAACTGATTAGTAACTTCTGTGCTTGGGAAGAGATGGAATTGCCTGTATAACAGATAGAATCATAGAATATCTCAAGTTGGAAGGGCCCATAAGGATCATCGAGTCCAAGTCCCTGCTCCTCACAGGACTACCTAATTCTAAGCTGTATTACTCAGAGTGTTGTCCAGACACTGCTTGTGCTCTCACAGGCTTGGTACCATGACCGCTTCCCTGGGGAGCCTGTTCAAGTGGCCAGCCGCCCTCTCGGAACCATTTCTGTCATGAGTGTACCTTCACATCCTGTTGGCAAACTGTGCCCTGGAATGTTGTGGTTTTGTTTGGGTTTTTCTATTTCTGTTTGTCACTAATTTGAGGCCAGGCACTTTTGTAAGGAATCTGATGATAGTTGTATGTGGTTTTTCACATCACGAAGTTTCCATCTCTGTTGGTGGTTTTAGGTTAGAGGCTAGAAGCTGACTAAGGTAGGGTCGCTGGAGCCTCCAAGAAGTGGTTCCTGTAATGTAAGGGGAAGTCTGTTTCGCTGCTACCTGAGAGCTGTACTGAATCTGGAGAGAGCTACGGGGCAGACGGCCACTTTCATGACCACTATTCCCACTTCTGTCACAAGCACCAATGCCACAGCTAAATGTTTAAAAGTGAAATCTCAGCTGTTTATTGTGAAGCCAAGAACAGCCTTGCATTCGCTGAGGATGATGATAGGCCATGTTTTTCTTCACTGTATTGCAAAGTTCACTGCCAGTCTTTTGCAAACAGCATCAAGGAACTGGAACAAGAACAGCTTGTCCATGTTTTCCGTGAGGCCTCATAAAATCTGTAAAATGAGAGGAAGAATAATTGCAGCGAGACATCTCTAGAGCTCGTAGATGATTGAGAAGTAATGCATCTGTCTGGCCATTAGACACATGAAAAGCCTCTGCTTTCTCTTACATGCTCAAGCTGTGAGTCAGTATGAGCAGATTGTTTACAGTTTATTCACAACATGGA